AACCATGAACGAAAACTTTAATAAAGGGGATTTCCCCGCTTATAGTCGTCGGAAGCCAGGAGATCCATAGCACAGGGTATCCTAGTTTGGACTCGTCTCCCATGCTCTTTGTTTTGTGGAAAAAATATGTTTGAAAATGATAAACTGCAAATTACTATTTGTGGGAAAAAATAATAAAGGTCATTATTATTATTATCGGTAATGTGGACTAACAGTGCTGCTATAAAATAACCCGCTAGTCGCTAAAATATTGAAATGTGTGCTAAATACACCAAAAAGCGCTGGATTAAGCTAGGTGCTAAAATTTCGAAATGCGCGCTATATATTCCAAAAAAGCGCTAAATCTAGTTCCCAAGCGCTAAAATGGCAGTACTAATTTTGCGTGTATTATAAATACAATATCACGACATTTCGTTGCAAAATTTTTATTTTTGGTCGGGTTCCGTTGTATGGCTTCGATGGATACAAATTTCTTCAGTAAGTCTCAATACGATTCATCGGCGAAAAATCACAACACAGTAATTCAGAAAAGTTTGTAATTTGTACAACTCCATCTATTACGTCCTTTGTGTGAGAAAACATCCTTTTTAAATCTCTTTTTGTGTTTTAAGTATAAATATATTAATTAATATGGAACGTTTTTTTTTACACACAAATCTTTTTATTACTATTTCTGAGATTTTATGGCGCCATTGAACAAATTCGAACCTACATTTCAAAATAATAATCATTACTTTCGATAGAATTAACCAATTTTAATAAAACAAAGAGTAAATGTAACTCGAAGATACGCTTTATGATTTTCTTAACGATTTCTTTGAAAATAAAAGATGTTTACTTTAGACGTGATGCGTTCATATAATAACAGACAAATAGGCAGACAGACAATTCTAAAAATTATAAAATGTTCTTATTTAATTATTTTCAGTTCCCCATAATGATTTTAGCCACAAAAATATATATATATACAATGTACAGAAAGAGACACAACATGTTATCATCATTTTTATTATATGTATATATTTAAAGAGAGATGGCGCTGCTAACATCAATTCTAAAAATAAAAGAGATTAATTGACGCGATTGATACATTATATAAAACGCAAGAGAACTTATAAATCAGTGCCTGCACAGTAAGCAAAAAATAAAGTTTGACTCTCGCCAAAACCAACGCAATTGTTAATAGCTCTTTTAAAATTTGATTTACCACATAGAGTACTCGGCGGTAAAGAATAAATTGAGTTTGTCAACACGCAGTAGGGCAGCGAGTAATATAATAAAGATTAGCAGTAAATATGAAAACTCATCTACAGGAATAAACCACATTGCAATTGCATTACATTTTCACAACACCACCATCTATCGAAGAAATGGGTTAACTATTGTGCTTCAGATTTAGTTAATAAGGTTAATATATTTTTATATAATATATTTAATACGTTCTTTAATACTTTTGTTTACTGCGTTTTAGATATACATAATTATATCATTATTTTACATAATTTAACTATGATTTATGATATGATATTAGTTTAAAATGCACTTGATGACTCAAACAAAGCCACCGTTGAGCAAATTCGTACCTATACTTCCCTATCCATACTTCAGAATATTTATCATAACTTTTGATGGAATGAACTGATTTTAATGAAATAAAGACTAAATGTAACACGAAGATACACTTTATAATTTCCTTGACAATTCTTATGATATAAATTAGTACTTTATACGTGATACGTTAACAAACAAACAGACAGACAGACAGACAGACAGAAAATTCTAAAAATGGTAGAAATGTATTTAATTACTTATTTTTAGTACCCCTCAATCACTTTTATTACAAAAATATAAAATATACAGACATCTACTATTTACAGTTTTATTATATGTATAGATGTGATCGTTGTATCGAATAATATTTTTAGATATTTGACTATATTTACAGTTTCCAAAATATCACCATATTTCCTATCTACTATCACAAATTTACCGGACTATATCGCCAACTTACCTTAGATAACCTGGTATGTTTGTTTGTCATTTATTATAAAACTTATTAGAGTTTTGTTGATATAAGTGATCTAGGTAGTTACTTCAAATAATAAGTAAAGTAATAAAGAAAAGTGATTTGTTGCATTGTTTTTGAAGAATTATATAATGCATATGTTTCATTTTTTATCGCCAACATACCTATCCTTACCCTACATAACATACACAAATATATTGATACATCCGTTATTAATAAACTATTCATTTTTAAATATTCTGGAATACATTCATAATTATGAACTTAACTATTAAGCCATAGCATAAAATAAAATTTCCCGTTAGTCGGGTAATAGTTAAGCTGCTGGCATATACAATGTTTCACGCACACTAGCATCATGCAAATGGTCTTATACACATTACAAAATCAAGATTCCGCATTCATGGAGCTGTTACTTGCAGGGAGCGCGGTATTTAGTCAGAACGCGCGATGACTTATCATTAATCTATGGCAAAATAATTGATTTTCAATAATTTTTTTCTCAAAACGTACGCGTTTTCGCATATTGAAACTTTGCAAAACGCTTTCTTTTAGTGAGTACTATGCATAAAAAAATATGGGCATTTAAATCGATGGTCCATATTGGAAACTTTATCCTTTCGACGGGACGTTTTCTTTAGCTTTGGTGTATTTTGTATATAATTTTTAGTTTTATAATGTACTTTTAAGTGTTTCATTCCCAATTGTGCAAGTAACAGAGAAGTGTCTGACGAAGGCCAAAGAAACAAGTGGTTGGACTTTATAAACTGTGACAAACTTAAAAGTATGCTGCATTCCAGTAAACTTTTCAAGAAGCCTGCTTGGTCACAAAATTTTTGAATAAAGGGTTTCATACTGCTAAATCTGACATTAATAAGGCTAAAAAAGGTTGGATAAATTCAACACTATTCTTTGGAGTAAATTGAGTTAGGTTTATCATCAAAGAGGACAAAGGTATGTATATTTAATTATTCCTTAATAAACATAACTGCTCAGTATATTCAGTATTCATAGAAAATTTTAAAAATTAAAATAAAGATGTACGGGAGTACTATACATTGAATAAAACTACTTAATTCCTGGCATTTCAAGTGATCTCTTTGATAACAACTTAGTAATAATAATAAACTGGTTGCCAACTTGTCTGCCAAGTGTTACTTTCCGTAAGGTGAAAACTCTTAAGACCGACCAACTAGGTCTCTCCGGATTACCAATGACCATATATATGAACGAGCATCTTACACTAAAGAAAAAAAATTATTTCGTAAAACCAGAGATATCGCCACTATGCACCAATACAAGTATATCTGGGTTCGGAATGCCACTATTCTGGTGCGCGAACGAGATGGTGAAACTGCTTTTTCTATACGCACTGATGATGACCTTCGAAAGATCAAAAGTCGTACTAAAAGTGGTGATAATAACCTTTGTGGTGGTTCTACCCAACATATTCAGTAATAACACTACTTTTCATTATTATCATTACTCTCCCTACCATATATCTCGCCTAATATCTTTATTAGGTGTCATTAGGCATTATACGTTTTTATTAATGATGTTTATCGCTCTCTCATCCAAAAATGCAAACGACACGCCAAATAAAATAATTAATACTTTTGCAATAAAATTTTCCTTATACTATGTTACGTTGGTAAGGTTATGTGGTATTATTGCACTATGTTACACTTTGTTGAACTTTTTTTTTATGAAGTATATATTACCATTGATAGTAATAATGAGACTTAAACTTTGTGATATTATTTTTATGTTTATACTTGAAAGATAATAATATTAATTTTGCATCTTAGATTAATGATAGGTCTTCGCGATAAGTGTGCCCTACGTCAATATTAAAAATAATGTTTAGGCTCAGTTCAATTCTAAGTTTATAAACACACTGGTATTGTTAAATTGTATGCCATTCCTAGGGTTATTATTATGCGTAGAGAGAGAATAAACTAACTCTCTCTACGATTATTATGTGATCGTTTTGGTCTCTATGCAGAGGCGTAGCTATGTAACCAAGGGCCCCGGGGCAAAAATGAAATTGGGGCCCTATTTAAACTAAACTAAATACTTCAAAGGTGCAAACATACTTCATCATCAGCTCCTTGTCGCCCACTGCGGGGTATTTATTTATTTATTAAGGACAGCCAACAAATCTTACACCAAAAACATTAAATTCTTAAGCTATCATCTAAGATTTAAGCTAAGTGCAGATTGAATTACAGGCTGCCACGACTTGCAAATGTGAGTGTTTAATGTTTATTAAAAAGTAATAAAATATAAGAAAACTAAAAAAACTAAACTAATCCAAAATTATTCCGTACTCAAACTTGCACCTAGAACTAACATTTTGAATTTAGAGAGGCTATTTAAAAAAATGTCTACGTCCGTTTTTTTCTGGAGTCCATTGTATTGTCGTTGCAGCCTGTTCATGGTCACGTGATGGCCGAGATTGCTTTTGGATCTTTTCGCGAGATTTTATAGGGATAGATATAAACCGAAGCTGTTCCAACAGTCCAGGGCAATCCAGACCACCTCTTACAATTTTATATAAAAACAAATGATCTAATATAAGCCTCCTATTTTTTAAGCTTTTCATTTTAAATTTTGAAAGTCTATCAACGTACGAAGGCAACTGCTTAGCTAGACCGGATGTGGTACGAAGGTGATGCTTGCAACCTGTGCCGTGAGAATCTAATAAAATTACATTTATCAACATTTAGTTTCATTTGGTTTTGATCGACTCAGATTGCTAGATTATCAACATCCTCTTGAAGAAGCACAACATCAGTGGCTGAGTTGATTTCTCTACAAATTTTTGAGTCATCTGCAAAAAGATAGACCTTTGAATATTTTAAAACCGAGACTATATCATTTATGAAGATTTTAAATAGGGTAGGGCCAAGATGAGAACCTTGGGGTACACCTGAAAGTACTGGCAGTGGATCTATAGTAAAACTTTCCAGGACTACACTTGCCACTCGATCTGATAAATAAGAAGAAAATCACTTAATACATCCCCGAAGCCATACTCTGCCAGTTTTGTCAGCAGAATACCACGATCCACTCTGTCAAAAGCTCTGCTGAAGTCGGTGTAAATAGTATCAACTTGATTGTTCTTGTCTACTGACTGACTAATATCTGAGACGAATTCAGCAAGGTTCGACGCAGTCGAGTGATTCCTTACGAACCCAAAATGTCGAGCCGTGATAAAATGTTTAATGTGCCAGGATAAAATAGAACAAAGAAGTGATTCGAATACTTTAGCAATTGCCCTGTAGTTTTTTATTAGTTTATCATCACCAGACTTAAATACTGGCACAATAAGGGCTCTCTTCCAAACTGTAGGAAATTCCCTTCGACGCAATGATTCATTAAAGATCAATAAAAGCGGATATGACAAACACTCTGAACAGTGAATTAGAAACACCGGAGGTATGCCATCAGAACCAGCACCCTTTGCGGGATCAAGTTTCTTTAGGGCAAGTTCAATTTGTCGCGGTGAAAATAAAATTTCCTCAATACTATAAGTGCTAGTCATCACTGGTGGGAGAACCACTTGTCTTTTAGCAGTTGAGGGCACACTATAAGCTAACATAAAGCAAGTGGCAAACAGATTAGCTATATCCCTTCCAGAATTAGCCGTCTCGCCATCATAGTGCATTATAGAGGGGAAATTACTACTGTTAGATTTTTTATGTTTCATGAACAACCAGAATAGTTTGGGATTCTTAGAGAGTGAGTTTTCTATGTCAGATAAATATTTTTTAAATGACAAGGTGATCAAAGAGTCACACCTCTTCTTCAAGGATTGTAAGTACAACAGGTCAATAGGGTTATTGTATTATTTAAATACTAAAGCAAAGCTAGATTACAGTTAATAATATACGCAGACAACATAACAGTGGAAGAGCCACACGGCAGCTTATGCTGTCGCGTGGGTGAGTCAGTCTAGATGGAGTGACGACCTGGTAAGACATGAAATGAAGAGCTGTAATAAATGAATGTAATGAATGGGTGGACCGGCTCGAGCCAATGAGACCCACGACCTTACAGATAACCAGCGTGAAGTAGAAGTTTACTTCGCCTGTTAAGTATAGGTGGTAGGAGGCCTAACTCCTCTCCCCATTAACATGGTAGTGTAATTAAATAAGAATCCATCTCAGGAGAGTACCAGTACCCCTGGTATTGGAGGATCCCTGGCTGACCATCCACGCCCAAGCTACCATACTCTTCCGTAGCGTGGGTGCTCAGGCTGCGTCGCATATCCTGGGGAGGGGATCGGGGCCAAATTCCGCTCAAGACTAATACTGCTCGTGGCAAGTGGAGCAATAAGACAAAGGTGACCCCTGCCACGCTATCCGTGAATTTCTGCAACATCAGGGGATTTCATCCAAACGTTAACGAAGTCCACTAGGCACCATCTGAAGACGGCGAAGCCGACCTTGCTCTTTCTAACCGAGACGCAGGTGTCCTCTCCCGTTGATACTTCTCTCCTCTCCGGGGTACCAAATTATAACACCTTTGTACCTCGTGCTTGAGTTTGCGTATACTTCAGAGAGGACATCTCGGCAGTCTTGAAGGTCAGCAACGACCGTCCTCGCGTCTACGGGTGCCTCTATAGGTAATGCCGATACAAACCAACTCATCGACCACGTCCAAATCGCTGAAGACTTTGTGCTACAAGAGGTCCCATCCGCAGAGATCGTGATCCTTGGCGATTTTACGCTGAATGGCTTGGTTTTCATTTAACCGATCATGCGGGAAGATCTGTTTATGACTTTGCCTTGGCATATGATCCGACACAAATGAATACTTAACCTACGCTGATTCTAGACGTGGAGAATCATGCACCTTCCTTGTAGAACATTCTGCTGACCTCTTATCCGGACGGATATCAGGTGTCAGTCGACGCCCCTCTTGGCTCACTGGACCGTTGTCTGGTCCGGACGATGGTGCCACTAACACTGGGAGTGTTGCGTTCTGCAGATCTCCGCCGTGTTTGACACTATAGGTCTGCGAATTGTGACAGGATACGGTCCTTTTTGCATCCTTCCATTGACGACAGGGGTGTGCTTCTCGCCGGATGATCCCAACGTGATTCTGTCGTTGATGTGGTACGTCAGGGAATAGAACTCTTTATTCTATTATCTGTGGTGTCTGGTTTGGTCGCTCCTGTAAAATCGCATCGCACTATAATAAGAGTGCTTCACCAGCGCTCGGTGCATAGCACTACTCTCTCTAGATGTCAAGTTGAGTGGGCCTGATGAAGTTCCTCCAAGTGTGCTGAAGACGTGTGCTCCCTAGTTGGCACCAGTCGTAACGTGTCTTTTCTAAAACTCCTTCTCCCTAGGTGTAGTTCCGAACTCAAAGAAGACAGCTTTAGTGCGCCAGATTCCTAAAAACAATCGAAAATCGACAGCTCAGACCTATCCAATTTATTCTCCAAAATAATGAACACCATTGTGAACTGCCTGCTCATGAGGTTGAGGATCATCAACTGAAAAGTGACCACCAGCACGATTTCCGTCGGGTTTGCTCAGCTGGTGATCTTCTGGCTTACCTGACTCATAAATCGGCGGAGGCAAAGACGGAGACTCTGGCCGTTAGTTTGAATATAGCGAAGGCCTTCGATCGGGTTTCGCACAAAGCACTTTTTTCGACGCTCCCTTTCTATTGGCTTCCCGAGAATTTGTGCAACTGGATCAGCAGTTTTCTTGCAGATTGGAGCAAAAAAGTCTTAGTAGAAGGTGCATACTCCATTTACAAGCCTATTTTTGCTGGTGTTCCACAAGGCTACGTGCTATCATCTACGCTGTTTCTTTTGCTTATCAATAATATGTTGCAAACCAGTAATGTGCACTGGTGATGCTTTATACACCGGCTGTGCCTATATTTCTCGGGAATACGTCGCCGAGTACCGGAACAAACTTGTGTCTGAAGTCGAGTTTTTGCCGGATAAAGTCTCAAATTAGGGTGACTAAATCTAATTAATTTTGATGCCCAGAATACACAAGTTTGCGCGATTACCACTAAAAAGAACCCCTTTGTCGTAACTCCTCAATTTCAAGGGAATTTCGGAATCTTCGGCGTTGACATATCGAATAACGTGCAGTTTCGTAATCATTTGGAAGGAGCTCAGCAGAGCGGGACAGTATATATGCAACAAAATTTCATAAACGCATTTCACAAATCCACATCATCGGGATGTTTGGTGGTCCACTACTGTCGGACCGAGACGACTTAGGGAGCTTCAAGAAACGAGCTTACTCCTTTTTTTAAATTCGGCAATGCGCCTGTAATTCCTCTGGTATTGTATTTGTTAATAAGAGATGCTCGAAACTTGTCATCAGGTGAGAAACATGCTCGTTTGTCCCACTCTTCTATATAAAAAAGACAATAAAACGAAGTAGACAATTATCTTTAAGAATGTTATATTTATGTTCTGGAAGTAAGAGTAATTTTTGTGATTTCAGTTCGAGCCGTTCGCGGTCAGGGGTCAAAATGTTGAAACTCGAAAATTCTTTATACAACTAGGATAGTACATAATTTTTCGAACGTCATTCTTGGAGGCTGAGGGGCCCCTTTAGCTTGGGGGCCCCGGAGCACTGCCCCGCCTAGCCCCTGGGTAGCTACGCCACTGTCTCTATGTTGCCATATATTGTTATACTTTGATAAGTTACGAGTTTTTCAGACAGTTACAGATATTGTGTTACTTGTCTGTTGTAGTATTATAAACAAATTAAAATTTTATGAGTTTATCATAAATATATCAGCCCTTAAATTTAACAGGTGTAAGTATGGTTGTTATGTTGTATATGTATCAACAAAATATTTTAATCAGCAGGCTGTAATAGTTTGGTGTAATTTTAATTATAAACTTAGCTTGATTTTTTTTATCTTGCATTCATGTTTTTGTAATTCTTATTAACTTTTTGAAGATATATCTTGAATTATTTCTTTGTGAGGAATTGGGGGATCGTCTTTGCTACGTGACTGGTATATTGTGCTATAATAAGGTACAATATTCTTATTATTGCTTTAAATACTTGAACATCGTTAGCAAAAATGCTCATATTCAAATAGACATTACACGTATTATATATTAATATGTATATGTTTATTCTCAATTATTCATAATAGTTAGCAAGCAACTTTCCTTATACTACCAAAATTGTAGAGGTACTCTCTGCAATTTTGGTAGTATAAGGAAGTCTCTGGTACTCTCAGCTTAACGCTACTGTGTTTCGTATGGTGAGTGTAGAGAACCGGAGACCCTTTTTACTGGCAAAGAGGTATTCCATCTTAGTCCTCACTGGTGACAACGCATCTGCATCTTAAGTCTTTATTGAGGATAGATGTAGATGTCTATTGATCACAGTAACCACTTACCTAAGGTGGTAAAAAAAGGTTTCCGTACAAAATTACACACACTTTATATTTTATATTTTTTACGTGGTAGAGCCACGCTGCAGCTATATTAGTAGTATAGTTGTAGCACGAATGGGTCGGCTCGACCGGGGAAGGACCACGCTCTCACAGAATACCAGCGTCAAATAGCAGTTTAACACTGCTGTGTTTCGTATGGTGAGTGTAGAGAACCGGAGACCCTTTTTACTGGAAAAGAGGCATTCCATCTTAGTCCTCACGAATGACAACGCATCTGCGTTTTGATTCGCAAAAGAAGATAAATGTAGACGTCCATGGGCCACAGCAACCACTTACTATCAGGTGGACTGTGTGCTCGTTTGTCACTCGATCCTATAAAAAAAATAATTAACATTCTAAACAGTAACTATGATATCATCGTACTTACCGAAACTTGGCTGGTATCGGAAATTAGCAACAATGAGTTTATCGATCAACGCTATATTGTGTACAGGTGCGACCGTGATCGTATCAGTACGAATAAACTAGATGGGGGTTGTGTACTAATTGTGGTTTTGCGAACACTCAGATCATCTGAGTTAAATGTCTCTTTGACTCGTGTAAATTTTTCATTGCGTAACCTTATCGAGCATGTCATCATCGAAGTTCCTAGTAAGCAATCCTCAATTCAATCAAGTGAAATGCAAGAAATATAACAACATATCAAACTATGAGATATTTTCCCCGTATAGAACGTTATTTAATGATATGTGTAATAAATGTTTTTCTAAATATATTGGATCTGTCGAAGATAGCACACGCAAAAATATTAAGAATTTCTGGGTATACATCTCTAATCGTCGTGACAAATCTGGAATACCGGCTAAGGTTGAATATAATGATGATGTTGCAAGTGATCCACAGACAATACGCAACATGTTTTCTGAATTCTTCTCTTCCGTTTATGAACCGCCCTCACCTACACTATCGCAGTGGAGGCCACCTGCCGATTCAACATCTTATGATACCACTATTACTGACCTTCATTTTGAAGTAGAAAACGTATTAAGAGAGCTGAAATCTCTGGATCCATCTAAGGGGCGAGGCCCTGATGCTTATTTCTGCTTATTTTCTATGAAACACCGCCTCTGTTATATGTAAACCCCTAACTATCATCTATAATAAATGCATTACTGAAGGTGTTATGCCAACAGTATGGAAACAAGCTAACATCACACCTGTATACAAGAGCGGATCTAAACGTAGTGTAGATCAATATCGCCCGATATCAATATT